CTTCGCTGCGGTTCGCATAGCTGCGCTTAGCTTCGCTTTGCTTCTCTTAGCTTCGCTTCTCTTTGCTTCGCTTCTCTTTGCTTCTCTTCGCTTCGCTTCGCTTAGCTTCGCTTAGATTCGCTTCGCTTCTCTTCGCTTCACTTCTCTTTGTTTCTCTTCGCTTCGCTTCGCTTAACTTCGCTTTGCTAAGCTTCGCTTCGCTTAACTTCGCTTAGCTTTGCTTGGCTTCGCTTAGCTTCGCTTCGCTTAGCTTCGCTTCGCTTCGCTTCGCTTAGCTTCGCTTCGCTTCGCTTAGCTTCGCTTAGCTTTGCTTTGCTTCGGTTAGCTTCGCATACATTCGCTTAGCTTCACTTCGCGTCACTTAGCTTCCCTTAACTTTGCTTTGCTTCGCTTAGCTTCGCTTAGCCTCGATTTGCTTAGCTTCGCTTCACTTTGCTTAGCTTCGCGTAGCTTCGCTTCGCTCCGCATAGCTGCGATAAGCTTCGCTTTGCTTCTCTTAGCTTCGCTTCGCTGCTCTTTGCTTCTCTTCGCTTAGCTTCGCTTAGCTTCGCTTAGCTTCGCTTAGCTTCGCTTAGCTTCGCTTAGCTTCGCTTAGCTTCGCTTAGCTTCGGTTCCCTTCACTAAGCTTCACTTCGCTTCGCTTAGCTTCGCTTCTCTTAGCTTTGCTTATCTTCGCTTTGCTTTGCTTAGCTTCGCTTTGAATAGCTTCGCTTAGCTTTGCTTAGCTTCGCTTGGCTTCACTTCGCTTGGCTTCGCTTGGCTTCGCTTCGCTTCGCTTGGCTTCGCTTCGCTTCAATTAGCTTGGCTTAGCTTCGCTTAGCTTTGCTTAGCTTCACTTCGCTTCGCTTAGCTTCGCTTAGATTCGTTTCGCTTTGCTTCGCTTCGCTGCCCCTAGCTTCGGTTCGCTTCCCTTAGCTTCACTTCGCTTCGCTTAGCTTCGCTTAGCTTTGCTTCGCTTCGCATAGCTGCGCTTAGCTTCGTTTTGCTTCTCTTAGCTTCGCTTCTCTTCGCTCCGCTTCTCTTTGCTTCTCTTCGCTTCGCTTCTCTTTGATTTGCTTCTCTTTGCTTCTCTTCGCTTCGCTAAGCTTCATTTCGCTTAACTTCGCTTAGCTTCGCTTCGTTTCGCTTAGCTTCGCTGAGCTTTGCTTTGCTTCGCTTAGCTTCGCTTAGATTCACTTAGCTTCGCTTCGCTTCGCTTCGCTTCGCTTAGCTTCACTTCGCTTCGCTTAGCTTCGCTTCTCTTAGCTTCGCTTAACTTCGCTTTGCTTTGCTTAGCTTCGCTTCGCTTCGCTTAGCATCACTTCGCTTCTCTTCGCTTAGCTTCACCTAGCTTCGCTTAGCTTCGCTTAGCTTCGCTTAGATCCGCTTAGATTCGCTTAGCATCGCTTAGCTTTGCTTCGCTTTGCTTAGCTTTGCTTCGATTCACTTTCCTTAGCTTCGGTTCGCTTCTCTTCGCTTTGCTTCACTTCGCTTAGCTTCGCTTAGCTTCGCGTCGCTTTGCATAGCTTCGCTTCGCTTAGCTTAGCTTCGCTTACCTTCGCTTAACTTTGCTTTGCTTCGCTTGGCTTTGCTTCGCTTCGCTTCACTTAGCTTCGCTTCGCTTCACTTAGCTTCGTGTTGCTTTGCTTAGCTTCGCTTAGCTTCTTTTAGCTTCGCTTAGGTTTGCTTCGCTTCACTTCCCTTTGCTTTGGTTCTGTTCCTTAGCTTCGCTTCGCTTCGCTTACCTTCGCTTAGCTTTGCTTCGCTTCGCATAGCTTCGCTTAGCTTCGTTTCGATTCCCTTAGCTTCGCTTAGCTTCGCCTCGCTTCGCTTAGCTTCGCTTCGCTTCTCTTAGCCTTGCTTACCTTCGCTTCGCTTCGTTTAGCTTCGCTTCGCTTCTTTTAGCTTCGCTTAGCTTTGTGTTCGCTTCGCTTCGATTAGCTTCGCTTAGCTTCGTGTTCCCTTCGCTTAGCTTCACTTCACTTCGCTTCGCTTAGCTTCGCTTAGCTTCGCTTAGCTTCATGTTCGCTTCCCTTAGCTTCGCTTCGATTAGCTTCGCTTCGCATCGCTTAGCTTCCTGTTCGCTTCACTTAGCCTCGCTTCGCTTAGCTTTGCTGTGCTTCGCTTAGCTTCGCTTAGCTTCTCTTAGCTTCGCTTCGCTTTGCTTAGCTTCGCCTAGCTTCGCTTAGCTTCGCTAAGCTTTGCTTCGTTTCACTCTGCTTCGGTTAGCTTCGCTTAGCTTCGCTTCGCTTCGCTTAGCTCGCTTCGCTTAGGTTCGCTTAGATTCGCTTCGCTTCGCTTAGCTTCACTTTACTTCGCTTAGCTTCGCCTAGCTTCACTTCGCTTCGCATAGCTTCGCTTCGCTTCCCTTAGCTTCGGTTCGCTTCCCATAACTTCGCTTCGCTTCGCTTAGCTTATCTTTGCTTCGCATTCCTGCGCTTAGCTTCGCTTTGCTTCTCTTAGCTTCGCTTCTTTTCGCTTCGCTTCTCTATGCTTATCTTTGCTTCGCTTAGCTTTGCTTCGCTTCGCTTAGCTTCGCTTCGCTTAGCTTCTCATAGCTTCGCTTAGCTTCGCTTAGCTTTGCTTTGCTTCGACTCGCACAGCTTCGCTTTGCTTCGCTTTGCTTCTCTTCGCTTCGCTTCGCTTAGCTTCGCTTCACTTCGCATAGCTTCGCTTTGCTTCTCTTAGCTTCGCTTCTCCTAGCTTCGCTTAGCTTCGCTTCTCTTCTCTTCGCTTCTTTTAGCTTCGCTTAGCTTCGTGTTCGCTTCGCTTATCTTCGCTTCGCTTCGCTTCGTTTAGCTTCGCTTAGCTTCGTGTTCGCTTCGCTTAGCTTCTCTTGACTTCGCTTCGCTTCGCTTAGCTTCATGTTTGCTTCGCTTAGTTTCGCTTCGATTAGCTTCGCTTCGCATCGCTTAGCTTCCTGTTCGCTTCGCTTAGCCTCGCTTCGCTTAGCTTCGATTCGCTTCGCTTAGCTTCACTTTGCTTCGCTAAGATTCGCTTAGCTTCTCTAAGCTTCGCTTTGCTTTGCTTAGCTTCGCCTAGCTTCGCTTAGCTTTGCTTTGCTTCGCTTTGCTAAGCATTGCTTCGTTTCACTTTGCTTCGCTTCGCTTCGCTTAGCTTCGCTTAGCTTCGCTTCGGTTAGCTTCGCTTAGATTCGCTTAGCTTCGCTTCGCTTCGCTTAGCTTCGCTTCACTTAGCTTTGCTTAGCTTCGCCGAGCTTCACTTCGCTTCGCTTAGCTTCGCTTCGCTTCCCTTAGCTTCGATTCGCTTCCCTTAGCTTCGCTTCGCTTCGCTTAGCTTCGCTTTGCTTCGCTTCGCTTTGCATACCTGCGCTTAGCTTCGCTTTGCTTCACTTAGTTTCGCTTCTTTTTGCTTCACTTCTCTATGCTTCTCTTCGCTTCGCTTAGCTTCGCTTCGCTTCGCTTCGCTAAGCTTCTCTTAGCTTTGCTCCGCTTCGCTTAGCTTTGCTTTGCTTCGCTTAGCTTCGCTTCGCTTCACATAGCTTGGCTTTGCTTCGCTTCGTTTCACTTCGCTTCGCTTCTAATAGCTTCGCTTAGCTTCGCTTCACTTTGCATAGCTTCGCTTTGCTTCTCTTCGCTTCTCTTTGCTTCGCTTCGCTTAGCTTCGCTTAGCTTCGATTCACTTCGCTTTGCTTCGCTTAGCTTCGCTTCGCTTAGATTCGCTTAGCTTCGCTTCGCTTAGCTTCGCTTAGCTTCGCTTAGCTTTGCTTAGCTTCGCTTCGCTTCGCATAGCTTTGCTTAGATTCGCTTCGCTTATCTTCGCTTAGCTTTGCTTTTCTTCGCGTAGCTTCGCTTCACTTCGCATATCTTTGCTTCGTTTCTCTTAGCTTCACTTCGCTTCTTTTCGCTTCTCTTCGCTTTGCTTCGCTTAGCTTCGATTCGCTCCGCTTCGCTTCGCTTAGCCTCGCTTTGCTTCCCTTAGCTTCGCTTCGCTTCGCTTAGCCTCGCTTCGCTTAGCTTTGCTTCGCTTCGCATCTCTTCACTTCTCTTCCCTTAGCTTCGCTTCGCTTCGCTTCCCTTAGCTTCGCTTCCCTTAGCTTCCCTTAGCTTCGCTTCGATTCGCATCGCTTCGCTTCGATTAGCTTCGATTCGCTTCGGTTAGCTTCCTGTTTGCTTCGCTTCGCTTAGCTTCCTGTTCGCTTCGCTTAGCCTCGCTTCGCTTAGCTTCGCTTTGCTTTGCTTACCTTCGCTTCGCTTTGCTTAGCTTTGCTTAGCTTCGCTTAGCTTCGCTTAGCTTTGCTTAGCTTCTCTTAGCTTCGCTTAGCTTCACTTTGCTTCGCTTAGCTTCGCTTTGCTTTGCTTCGCTTCGCTTTGCTTAGTTTTGCTTCGTTTCACTTTGCTTTGCTTCGCTTCACTTAGCTTCGCTTAGCTTCGCTTCGCTTCCCTTAGCTTCGGTTCGCTTCCCTTCACTTCGCTTAGCTTCGCTTCGCTTAGCTTCGCTTCGCTTCGCCTAGCTTCGCTTCGCATACCTGCGCATAGCTTCGCTTTTATTCTCTTAGCTTTGCTTCGCTTCTCTATGCTTCTCTTCGCTTCGCTTAGCTTCAGTTAGCTTCACTTAGCTTCGCTTCGCTTCTCTTTGCTTCTCTTTGCTGCACTTTGCTTCGCTTAGCTTCGCTTCTCTTAGCTTCGCTTCTCTTAGCTTCCCTTAGCTTCACTTCGCTTCGCTTAGCTTCGCTTTGTTAGAATTAAGGACGGAGTCTAGGTGAACTTAGGAGCTAGAATTACTCAAAATATAAATCCGAAATTCTGGACAGAAAAGTCGTCTTCACAAGAAACGACGTCGACGGAAAACTAGCCGTTGGAATGTGACGAAACTTGGATATCTTGTAGCTCTTAATCTTAGCTACCGTTCTCAATTTGAATCACGTTCATTGATGAAGTATTCGCGACGCTATGGCTTTCGACGCATTAGGGGGTAAGCTGTAGGAGGAGAACTTAACTCAATCTCAAAAGTTCAATCAAGGTTCAAGAATCTCACAAGGAATTAGAAGGAGCAAGAGAAAGGTTGGGATAGAAGAGAGGGATGAGAGGGAAGGTCCCAAGAGAGTCCCCAACCAAGGAAACCCCATAAGCACAAAGATTCCCTCCCTATAGGAACCTCAACTTTGACATTTGTCACTTCCCAACCCATCCATCCAAGTTGGCCACCCTTGCCAACCTAGCTTGGTTGTTCCCAACCAATTTGCAGCTGTTACAGTAGAGTGCCAAATTTCCCCAACCCCAAAGGTCCCAACTCCATATAAAGTCACCCCACAACTTCACTTTGTAACCGCCGCAATTGTAACGCAAGCTCATGAACTTTGAATCTTCATAGCTTTCGCGTTCTTGCTCCGATTGAAGCGATTCTTGTTGCGTCGGAAAGATCTTCTCAAGATCTATCATCACAAATACCTGCTCAAACAAAAAATAACACAGAACACATTCCCAAACTCCAGAACACACCACACACAAATGCTTGCACATTCAAACCACACATGCAAGTTGAAAACATGGGATGGGAGGCAGACAGAATGTGATAGCATATGATGACATCACACAACAATCTCCCCCTCTGGCTGCCAACCATCATCCACCATACCAACATCTCCAGCATGCATACTCAATGCACACTCATCCCAGCAAGCTTCATGCCCTTCCAATGATCCGCCTCCGCCAGACGCTTAGTGAAAATATCTGCTGCCTGCTGATGGGTTTTCACGATCTCCAGCCGCACCTCCTTATCAAGGAGTCTCCTCACCCAGTGCCACTTAGGCCTTATGTGTTTTGTAAGCCCATGCAGACAAGCATTCTTGGCGAGCTTCACAGCAGACTCATTGTCACAGAAGATCACCGTCGGCTCCTTCTGACCAACTCCCAACTCCTCCAACAAACGCCTCAGCCACACCACTTCCTTGGCCCCATGGTGTAAGGCCATGTACTCAGTCTCACATGAGGACAATCCCACCTCATTTTGCTTCTTGCTGCGCCAGCTCACAGCACCACCTCCTAGCAAGCACACATAACCCCCAATGCTGGTGCCATCCGCTTTCACTGAGTTGAAGCTAGCGTCAGTATAGCAACTCAAGAGCATCTCACCACTCTTCACATCTGCAGCACCTCTCTGCAACCGCTGCCTCACTCCACTGTACTCCAATCCCACTGATGCCGTAGCACTCACATAGCGGACCAACCTCTTGGCCGCTTCCAGCTGCTCATGACTAGGGCGTGAGACCACACTAGCCAACCGTGATGTAGCAAATGCAATGTCAGGCCGTGTATGATTTGCAGCATAATTCAGCGACCCAACCATCGAATGAAACAGCTTCCTGTCACTCTCACCCACTACCTCCTCATCAGCACATGGCTCCACAGTAAACCCCGAAGGTAGTGGTGTTGCTGGCTTTCCCCCATCTTGCAACCCATACTTCTCAGCCAGCCCCTCACAGTACTTCCTCTGGTGCAACCTCAGCACACCCTTCTCCACATCCCTCTCCACATGCATCCCCAGGTAGTACTTCACCTCACCCATCTTAGAGCACTTGAACTGCATCTCCAGCATCTGCTCTGCACTGTCCAGCAAAGCAGTTGATGCAGAAAAGAGAAGGATATCATCCACATACACCAAGAGCATGAGGATTTCGTCTTTCTCCTGCAGCAGGAACAGGCTGGGGTCACACTCACTCTTCTTGAAACCCCCAGCCAGCAGCGCCTCCTCCAACTTGTGATACCATGCACGAGGCGCCTGCTTAAGGCCATAGATGGCCTTCTTCAGCCTGCAGACCCTGCCGCTCCCATCATCCAGCCCCTCTGGCTGCTTCATGTACACCTCCTCCAGAATGATCCCATTCAGAAAGGCAGTCACAATGTCCATCTGCCGTATCTTCCATCCCAGGAGTGCAGCTATCGCCAACAGCACCCTCAGTGTTGTTCCTTTCCCCACAGGAGCAAACACCTCATCATAGTCCTTCCCCTTTGTCTGCTGAAACCCCCTTGCCACAAGCCTAGACTTGTAGCGGGTCAGCTCCCCTTCAGGTCCATACTTGTGCCTGTAGATCATCTTGGAAGTGATTGCCTTCTTCCCAGGAGGCAAGTCACACAGGTCCCATGTCTCGTTCTCAATCAGGGACCCGAACTCCTCATCCTCACTCGCCTTCCACTTCTCCCCATTTGGTCCATTCAAGGCCTCCTCTCGAGTCTTGGGCTCAAGGATTGGTGCCCAGTAGCAGTGAGCGATCTCATCTTCCTCAATCTGCTCAACCACACTCCCAGCCTGCACCACATTCGGCTTGCCTCTTCCCCCATAGGTCAGCCTCACCGGAGGGCGCACATCCCTCCTAGGTCGCTCAGGCGGGTGTGGAACTCGAGGTGGAGACTCATGCTGCTGCTGCTGCTGCTCCACTTCAGCTGCTCCCCCTTCCTCAGTCACCCCAGACATCTCCTCCTCAGACACTGCAACCTCCACCTGTCTTGAAGGCCGCTGCACCTCATCTACCTCCACAATGAGCGGTGTAGATGGAAGCTTCTGTTGCTGCTGCTTCCATTCCTTGTAGTACAGGGACTCAAGAAACTTCACATCCCTTGACACTGTCAGCTTCTGGGTGGTCAAGTCCCATAGCAGCCACCCCTTGTGATCCTTTGCAATTCCCAAGTGCACACCCCATCTTCCAGAAGCCTCCAACTTCCCCCTTTTCTCCTTAGGCACATGAAACACCACCATGCACCCAAATGCCCTCAGCATGTTCACAGCTGGAGCACTCCCATACCACTTGACATATGGGATCCACTCCTTATCCCCAACTGTAGCCAGCACCCTGTTCTTCACAAGGGCGACCTGCCTCAGTGCAGACACCCAAAACAGATCAGGCAGCCCTGCACGCCCAAGGAGAGTGCGTGCCCCCTCCTGCAGGGTCCTGTTGAACCTTTCAGCCACGCCATTCTGCTGCGAGTTGTAGGGCACTGTAAGTTGATGTTGGATCCCCTTCCTCTTCAACTCCCCCTCAAAATCAGCTCCAATGAACTCCCCACCATTATCACTGCGGATCACCTTCACCTTGTGTCCGCATTCCCTCTGAGCTCTAGGCATCCACTCCTTAAGGACAGCCGCTGCCACCTCCCCCTTGCTCTTCAAAGGGTAAACCCACACTGCCCGAGTGTGGTCATCCACAATTGTCAAGAAATAGCGGCTGCCTGAGAGGGAAGGGGCTCTTGTGGGCCCCACCACATCCATGTGCACAAGTGCAAGTGGGGTCTTGGCTGGTCCTGTAGTGCTGTTGAAGGGGAATTTGGAGAACTTGGTCTCCAAGCATGTAGGGCAGCTCCCAATCTCCTTCACTCCCCCTTTCACCTCCAAGCCTTTCAGGCTCCCATCCTTCACCAACTTCTGCAGCATAGGGAAGTTTACATGACACTGCCTCTCATGCCATGTCTCCCAATCGGCCTCACCACTCCTTGATGAAGCCTTAGCCCATGCCGTACTCGCATCCACACCAGCAAGCACCTCACCATGTGTCTGCTCCTGCTGCACTTTCTTGACTGCTTCCAGGACCCCATCAGTTGGTGCAGTTGCATCTCCTCCTGCTGTTGCCTTTGCCGTTGCTGCCGTTGCTGTTGTTGGAGTCTTCCCATTCCAAGGGATGATGGGCAGCTGCCATAGGTCCTTGATGCAGCTGGTCTCCTCTTCCAGACTCCACAGCACCTTCTTCCCAAGCTTAGCACGGCAGCTGGTTGGTCCAAAGGTCACTTCGGCCTTGCTCTTCTTCTTGCAGTACCAGCAGGTGCCCTCCATTCTGGTACTCCCCCTGCCACCAGAGCTCCCATGCCCCTCATTATAGTCACCTCGGCCTCGACCTCTGCCAAAGCTCCTCCCACGGCCTCGGCCTCTCCAACCCCCTCTTCCTTTGCCGCGCCCTGCAGCTCCATACCCCTCAGCAGTCTTAGTGGCAGCACCGCCTCCCACATGGCGTCTGCGGAAGTCCTCCTGCAGAATCTGCTGCCTTAGCCACTCAGGTGTCCATTGATCTTGCTGAGAGTTGAGGGTGGGGATGAGGTTGTCCCACGAGTTATCCAACACCGAGATGATCTTGGTGCACTGCTGCAGCTGAGAAACGCTGCTGCCCGCTGCTGCCATCCTTGCATAGGTGTCCTTGATCTTGTCAAGGATCGGCTTCACATCATCCCCTGGTCGCATGGAGATTGCAGCAAGTTCCTTCTCGAGCACGATCACCATCGGAAGAGTGTTGGGCTGAATCACATCGCGTAGTAGTTTCCACGCCCTTGGACCCGAATCATCCGCTTCCACCAGATCCTTGATGTGCTCGAACATCTCCTTGTTGACCGATTGAAGGATGAGGTCGAAAAGCACCGTGCTTTTCTCAATCCACCGTTCGCGTTCTTCGCCTTCTTCCGGCATCTTCTCCTCCCCAACAGCAATCTTCAGTAGCTTGTAGCGTTTGAAGGCACTCCTCATGCGCCCGCTCCATTCCTCATAGTTGGAGCCATCCAAAGCTTCAACTTTTGATGGTGGCGGCTCACTTGTCTTCTCAGGTACAGCTCCTCTTCCATTAGCATCTCCTCCTCTCTCATTCATCTTCTCCTTGAGAAATGACGAATTTCAGCTCCCCCTTTGCTATCCAGACTCAGCTCCCTCGATATTTTCACAAGTGTCAGTGTCCACGAAATTTCGGCAGAGTTTCCCCTTGGCGGAAGACACATCCAACCTTTAGAACACCACTTAGGCACACCCACAGGCCATGGTGGGTCTAGAAGGGTCTTCACACTTCTGTAGACTCCTCTCAATGTCCTCAATATAGCTCTGATACCACTTGTTAGAATTAAGGACGGAGTCTAGGTGAACTTAGGAGCTAGAATTACTCAGAATATAAATCCGAAATTCTGGACAGAAAAGTCGTCTTCACAAGAAACGACGTCGACGGAAAACTAGCCGTTGGAATGTCGCGAAACTTGGATATCTTGTAGCTCTTAATCTTAGCTACCGTTCTCAATTTGAATCACGTTCATTGATGAAGTATTCGCGACGCTATGGCTTTCGACGCATTAGTGGGTAAGCTGTAGGAGGAGAACTTAACTCAATCTCAAAAGTTCAATCAAGGTTCAAGAATCTCACAAGGAATTAGAAGGAGCAAGAGAAAGGTTGGGATAGAAGAGAGGGATGAGAGGGAAGGTCCCAAGAGAGTCCCCAACCAAGGAAACCCCATAAGCACAAAGATTCCCTCCCTATAGGAACCTCAACTTTGACATTTGTCACTTCCCAACCCATCCATCCAAGTTGGCCATCCTTGCCAACCTAGCTTGGTTGTTCCCAACCAATTTGCAGCTGTTACAGTAGATTGCCAAATTTCCCCAACCCCAAAGGTCCCAACTCCATATAAAGTCACCCCACAACTTCACTTTGTAACCGCCGCAATTGTAACGCAAGCTCATGAACTTTGAATCTTCATAGCTTTCGCGTTCTTGCTCCGATTGGAGCGATTCTTGTTGCGTCGGAAAGATCTTCTCAAGATCTATCATCACAAATACCTGCTCAAACAAAAAATAACACAGAACACATTCCCAAACTCCAGAACACACCACACACAAATGCTTGCACATTCAAACCACACATGCAAGTTGAAAACATGGGATGGGAGGCAGACAGAATGTGATAGCATATGATGACATCACACAACACGCTTCGCTTCGCATAGCGACGCTTACCTTCGTTTTGCTTCTCTTAGCTTCGCTTCTCTTCGCTACGCTTCTCTTTGCTTCTCTTCGCTTCGCTTCGCTTCGCTTAGCTTCGCTTTGGTTCGCTTTGATTCGCTTAGCTTCGCTTAGCTTCGCTTAGATTCGCTTAGCTTCGCTTAGCTTCCCTTTGCTTCGCTTAGCTTCGCTTCGCTTAGCTTCCCTTAACTTTGCTTTGCATCTCTTAGCTTCGCTTTGCTTAGCTTCGCTTAGCTTCGCTTCGCTTCACTTAGCTTCGCTTAGATTCGCTTAGCTTCGCTTCGCTTCGCTTAGCTTAGCTTCCGTTCGCTTCTCTTAGCTTCGATTAGCCTTGCTTCACTTCGCATAGCTGCGCTTAGCTTAGCTTCGCTTCGCTTCCCTTAGCTTCAGTTCGCTTCCCTTAGCTTCACTTTGCTTCGCTAAGCTTAGCTAAGCTTAGCTAAGCTTTGCTTCGTTTCACTTTGCTTCGCTTAGCTTCGCCTAGCTTCACTTCGCTTAGCTTAGCTTCGCTTCGCTTCCCTTAGCTTCGGTTCGCTTCCCTTACCTTCGCTTCGCTTCGCTTCGCATACCTGCGCTTAGCTTCGCTTTGCTTCTCTTAGCTTCGCTTCTTTTCAGTTCGCTCTCTATGCTTCTCTTCGCTTCGCTTCGCTTAGCTTCCCTTCGCTTCTCTTCGCTTCTCTTCTCTTTGCTTCGCTTCGCTTAGCTTCGCTTAGCTTCGCTTCGCTTCACTTCGCTTAGCTTCGCATCGCTTCGCTTCTCTTAGCTTCGCTTCGCTTAGATTCGCTTTGCCTCTCTTCGCTTCTCTTTGCTTCGCTTCGCTTTGCTTCTCTTAGCTTCGCTTAGCTACGCTTCGCTTAGCTTCGCTTTGCCTCTCTTCGCTCCTCTTCGCTTCGCTTAGCTTCGCTTCGCTTCGCTTAGCTTCGCTACGCTTAGCTTCGCTTAACTTCGCTTTGCTTCGCGTAGCTTCGCTTTGCTTAGCTCCGCTTCGCTTCGCTTAGCTTCGCTTCGCTTCGCTTAGCTTCGCTTCGCTTCGCTTAGCTTCGCTTCGCTTCGCTTCGCTTCGCTTAGCTTCGCTTAGCTCGTTTAGCTTTGCTTGGCTTTGCTTCGCTTCTCTTCGCTTAGCTTCGCTTAGCTTTGCTTGGCTTCGCTAAGCTTCGCTGCGCTTCGCTTTGCTTTGCTTAACTTCGCGTAGATTCGCTTGGCTTTGCTTCGCTTCGCTTAGCTTTGCTTCGCTTCGCTTAGCTTTGCCTTGCTTCGCTTAGCTTCGCTTAGCTTCGCTTAGCTTCGCTTCGCTTCGCTTCCCTTAGCTTCGGTTCGCTTCCCATAGCTTCACTTCGCTTCGCTTAGCTTCGCCTCGCTTTGCTTCGCTTCGCTTCGCTTCACATATCTTCGCTTTGCTTCGTTCTGCTTCTCTTAGCTTTGCTTCTCTTCGCTACGCTTCTGTTTGCTTCTCTTCGCTTCGCTTCGCTTTGCTTCGCTTTGCTTCGCTTAGCTTCGCATAGATTCGCTTAGCTTCGCTTTGCTTCGCTTAGCTTTGCTTAGATTCCCTTAGCTTCGCTTAGCTTCCCTTCGCTTCGCTTAGCTTCGCTTTGCTTAGCTTCCCTTAGCCTTGCTTTTCTTCGCTTAGCTTCGCTGTGCTTAGCTTCGCTTAGCTTCCCTTTGCTTCGCTTCGCTTCTCTTCGCTTAGCTTCGCTTGGCTTCGCTTCGCTTCGCTTAGCTTTGCTTAGATTCGCTTCGCTTTGCTTAGCTTTGCTTCGCTTCGCTTAACTTCACTTCGCTTCGCTTAGCTTCACTTTGCATAGCTTAGATTCGCTTCGCTTCGCTTCGTTTCGCTTAGCTTCGCTTCGCTTCCCTTAGCTTCGGTTCGCATCCCGTAGCTTCGTTTCGCTTCGCTTAGCTTCGCTTCGCTTCGCATACCTGCGCTTAGCTTCGCTTTGCTTCTCTTAGCTTCGCTTCTTTTTGCTTCGCTTCTCTATGCTTCTCTTCGCTTCGCTTACCTTCGCTTCGCTTCGCTTAGCTTCGCTTAGCTTCCCTTAGCTTCCCTTAGCTTTGCTTCGCTTCGCTAAGCTTCTTTTAGCTTCGCTTCGCTTCGCTTAGCTTTGCTTTGCTTCACTTCGCTTCTCTTCGCTTCGCTTCTAATTGCTTCGCTTAGCTTCGCTTTGTGTCTCTTCGCTTCGCTTCGCTTAGCTTCGCTTTGCTTCACTTAGCTTCGCTTCGCTTAGCTTCGCTTAGGTTCGCTTCGCTTTGCTTAGCTTCCCTTCGCTTCGCTTAGCTTTGCTTCGCTTAGCTTCACTTCGCTTCGCTTCGCTTCGCTTAGCTTCGCTTAGCTTCGCTTAGCTTCGATTCGCTCCGCTTCGCTTCGCTTAGCTTCGCTTCGCTTCGCATAGCTTTGCTTAGATTCGCATCGCTTATCTTCACTAGAGCATTGCCCAAAAATACCTCAACTTTTCATTTCGTTTTTCACATACAAAGCAATTTCTAAGCTCTTGTTTTGCATGAACAGTTAGTGCATGGGCTCAAGATAATCGTGGCTTGTGCTCAGATCCAAAACCTAAGTGTGCAAAAGGTTATGGTATTGTATGTGTTCCTTTTTCCAGTACTTGAGCATTTTCCTACGAGACCTCAACTTGGTTATCTTGCTATTGAGCATGCTCAAACATCTTGCTTTTTGCATGCATGGTTAGTGTATGGCCTCAAGAGCATGCTGGCCTGTGCTCGGATGCAAAACCCAGGTGTGTGGGAAGTTATCAAGCGTTTTCGCACGTCCAAGTTCTTGAGTGGTACCCCACCAAACAACAACCTGTTTTTTCATTTAGGATATTGTTCACCAAAACTCTTTTCCTTTGCATACATAGCTAGTGTATGGCCTCAAGAGCATCATGGCTTGTGCTCGGATCCAAAATCCAAGTGGTTGGGAAGTTATAGTATGCCTACTATTGTCCCATGACTAAAGACTTGAGCATTGCCCAACAAAACCTCAACTTTTCATTTTGTTTTTCAGATACAAAGCAATTTCTAAGCCCTTGTTTTGCATGAGCAGTTAGTGCATGGGCTCAAGATAATCGTGGCTTGTGCTCAGATCCAAAACCTAAGTGTGCAAAAAGTTATGGTATTGTATGTGTTTCGTTTTCCAGTACATGAGCATTTTCCTACGAGACCTCAACTTGGTTATCTTGCTATTGAGCGTGCTCAAACATCTTGCTTTTTGCATGCATGGTTAGTATATGGGCTCAAGAGCATGCTGGCCTGTGCTCGGATACAAAACCCAGGTGTGTGGGAAGTTATGGTATCTCAAGCGTTTTTGCATGTCCAAGTTCTTGAGTGGTACCCCACCAAACAACAACCTGTTTTTTCATTTAGGATCTGGTTCACTAAAACTCTTTCCCTTTGCATACATAGCTAGTGTATGGCCTCAAGAGCATCATGGCTTGTGCTCGGATCCAAAATCCAAGTGGTTGGGAAGTTATAGTATGTCAACTATTGTCCCATGACTAAACACTTGAGCATTGCCCAACAAAACCTCAACCTTTCATTTTGTTTTTCAGATACAAAGCAATTTCTAAGCCCGTGTTTTGCAGGAACAGTTAGTGCATGGGCTCAAGATAATCGTGGCTTGTGCTCAGATCCAAAACCTAAGTGTGCAAAAAGTTATGGTATTGTATGTGTTTCGTTTTCCAGTACTTGAGCATTTTCCTATGAGACCTCAACTTGGTTATCTTGCTATTGAGCGTGCTCAAACATCTTGCTTTTTGCATGCATGGTTAGTGTATGGGCTCAAGAGCATGCTGGCCTGTGCTCGGATACAAAACCCAGGTGTGTGGGAAGTTATGGTATCTCAAGCGTTTTTGCATGTCCAAGTTCTTGAGTGGTACCCCACCAAACAACAACCTGTTTTTTCATTTAGGATCTTGTTCACTAAAACTCTTTCCCTTTGCATACATAGCTAGTGTATGGCCTCAAGAGCATCATGGCTTGTGCTCAGATCCAAAATCCAAGTGGTTGGGAAGTTATAGTATGTCAACTATTGTCCCATGACTAAACACTTGAGCATTGCCCAACAAAACCGCTACTTTTCATTTTATTTTTCAGATACAAAGCAATTTCTAAGCCCTTGTTTTGCATGAACAGTTAGTGCATGGGCTCAAGATAATCGTGGCTTGTGCTCAGATCCAAAACCTAAGTGTGCAAAAAGTTATGGTATTGTATGTGTTCCTTTTTCCAGTACTTGAGCATTTTCCTACGAGACCTCAACTTGGTTATCTTGCTATTGAGCGTGCTCAAACATCTTGCTTTTTGCA